GGCAATAAAATCTGTTCCTTAATCCATTAGAGTGACTTAGTAGCATTCCTTCTGACCTACAGTGCACAAGGCACAAATCCAAATGCATGCAGTTTGCACAAAACTGCCTCAAGAAAAAAAAAAACTTTTGTGTAATCTATAACAATAATAAATAATTATAACAACAAAAATTGCTACCACAAACATCCACATATTTGTTTTATAGTTTGCAATATTGCCAAAACTTTAATTTTCATCTTTGCAACATTGGCAGATATATATCATTTCCCTATTTTATAGGAAAGGGAACTGGAGCGTGGAGTGGTTAAGTGACTTTTCCGAGGTTCACAAAAAGATTAAATAGTAGTGCTGAGTCTCAAAACTGCTACCGCCAAATATCCTCTTAACCAGTGTGAATATGCAAGGCTGTCTCATCCACAGACAGAGGTTTGTCTTTCTCCCATGACATCTCCATTTTTGCTGATTTTTTTCATTGAGGGAAGCTAATACTTCTGCCTTTCCCTCTTGGTCAAGAGCTCTTTAACAAACAATACCTAAGTTTATTAACTAAAGACTTTCCTTAGCAACCATTAATCTTCCAGAATGAACACAAAGCTGCTTTGTATCAGAATCCAAACCAGAGTTACTATTTACTTATTTATTTATATCACATCTTCATAAAGACATTTATAGAGCACCTAAAAGGTTTTTAAAACAAAGATAGAGTATGTTTTGTCTGCAACAGTTTAATGAAATAAAAACTAGGACGTCACTACAAATGGCCAAATATCTAGGTGTAGAGATGAATTAGCTTTATCTACTTTTTAAATCTTCTTTTTTAGAATTTTAATAAAATAATTAAAATGTCATGGGAAATAATATATTGGCTCTGTTTTGAGATAAAACTCTCTGCATAAAGTCAAGTATTTGCATAAAAATTGAGACTTTTAAATCATTTATAGTGGAAAATGTCCTCCCTCGCCAGCCCACTCCCTCGTCAATGTAAAAGCCGAGATAAAATTGTATGGATCAGATCTTTGATAACCTTGATTTTGCCTTCTGTAAATTGCTTCATTTTTATTTTATTATTTATTATTATTTTTTTTTAATAATTTTT